CCTACACCACACTCCCAGGTGTCCACCTACACCACACTCCCAGGTGTACATCTACACACACTCCCAGGTGTCCACCTATATCACACTCCCAGGTGTCCACCTACACCACACTCCCAGGTGTCCACTTACATCTCACTCCCAGGTGTCCACCTACACCACACTCCCAGGTGTCCATCTATACCACACTCCCAGGTGTCCACCTACACCCCAGTTCCAAGGGACAGTCTCCACCTCCACTCTGTTGGAGTGGACACTCTGTTGACCTCCTTTACTTTGACTCTGAGCAAAGGTAAAGTTTTTAGTTGTGTGCTGTATTCTGGAATCTCAGGAAAATACTTAACATTAAAGTTATAGGATGAAAAGAGAAATTATATCTTATTCTCCCACCACTTTCATAATATTTCAGTTTATGAACTTTAAAAAAAGACCCTTACATTGAAGAGGGATGGGGTGGGGTTGCTTTACCTCTTTTATTATTCCCATAGAAAAAGTTGTTTTTCCTCTCCATCGAGTAGAATGTAGAAAACCAGAGTATATCATCCTGCTACAGAAGGATAAATTCAGGCCCATGGATGTTTCCTAGCTTATCCAAGGAGTGTTCAGAGATTCAGGATGAACCTTCAGAGAGCAGTCCCAATGATGCTCAAGCACACAGGCAGGAGCAGGGCAATATGTCAAACCGCTGTTTGCAGTCCCAGTTGCAAACGTGGCCTGGACAACAAACTCAGTGTCACAGAAGTAGCATAGATAGAATACAGATTCCTTCATGGGCCAGAAAATACTGTCCTTTCTGTAAGAAGCAAATGTGACAGGGTTCCTCCTTCCAATATCTGTCTCCCTGCAGTAGTCAGCCCAGGCTTCCCTGCATTGTGATGTTCCCAAATCAATGTCGAGCCTTCTGACGGACTTCGCTGCATCTCACCCTTTTCCCCGGTGCCTCAATGCTTAGCAAGAGTCCTCTCCAAGCATTAACGAAGTTAATGGAATCAATTGATTCAAATTTAATTAAATTGCCTTAGATCCAGTCTGAATTCTCCAGGACAGGTCTGTCAGTCCGCAGCCTTCTCCGGCTGGCTGCATAAGACAGGCATCGTGTAGTAAGCACTTCTGGTTTATTGTTGAGACTTGGGTTTTCAAATACTTTTCTCCAGAGCTTGTCTTTTCTTGTGAACTATGAATGAAAGAAGTTAGAATCCATGAAAATTGGCAAACTTAATTCTAGAGAAACTGAAATGCTCTTTGGAATGAAATTGAAACATCTATCTTTGGGAAAAAAAATAAGAAAGTAGCATGAATTAATGAAGCCCATCTCTGGGCTGGTTATAACTGAAGTTGCCCACTTGGAAATAGCTACTTTTATAAGATTGGACAGGCCCATCAGTTCCAAGAGTCTCTTGCATACTAATGACATGTAAATGTAAGAGGAGAAGAGAATGAAATCACATTCAATATCATCAAAATGATTTTATATTTTTATAAAAAGAGGAAAACAAAGAACAAAAAAGTTTCTTCTTCCATGAAAGAAGATGAAGTTGGTGGATGTCCTGAGTCATGCCACCATGACATGTCATGTGGCATGACCGTATTGGTATATTATTTGTATTTTGATAACTAAATCTTACCTGAAGACCAGAGGCAAATCTAAAGCCACTAGAGGTCAGGCAATGGTGATGCACACCTTTAATTCTAGGATTTGAGAGAGAGAGTCAGATGGATCTCTGAGTTCATGACCACGCTCGTCTACACAAGACCAATGCAGAAACAAATCCAGGTGGGGGTAGTCTATTCCTTTAATCCCAGTACTAGGGAGTTATACACCCTTAATTCCAGCACTAAAGGGAATATAAAATGAGAGTAGAGAGAGGCTTAGTCTGTTGTAAGGAGGCCGCTTGTTTGTTTCCCAGCTGCCCAGACTCCCAAAATAATCACACAGAAACTATATTATTTGCAATACTGCTTGGCCAATAGCTTAAGTGTATTTCTGGCTAACTCATATCCTAAATTAATCCATCTCCATTAATCTGTGTATCACCATGAGGCTATGGTTTCCTGGCAAAATTTCAGCATGTTTATCTCAGGCAGCGTCTCCATGGCTTCTCCCTGACTCCTCATTCTTTCTCCCAACGTTCAGTTTAGTTTTCCCCGCCTACCTATATTTTGCCCTGTGCAGGCCTAAGACAGTTTCTTTATTAATCACTGGTATTCACAGCATACAGAGGGAATCCCCACATCATTAGTTTGTTTAGCTTGCAGTTGTCCAGTCTTAGTAGAGGTGAAACTTCTCTAGTGGACTGGATTCTTTGCTTTTCTGGTTTTTGAGTTGAGTCCCAATTTCTGTCTTTGAGTTTTTACTAGTCATGCTACAACAGACCACAGAGCCACCAATGCCATCAGACTCCACAGGCTGCAGAGCTGCCGGAAGGCCTCAGACTCCACAGACTACATAGCCTTGAAAAAGACAGAGGTCCTTTACAAAGTTCTGTTATTGAGTAAAGGGCATGGTCCAGCCTGATGTGATTCAACCGTTTCAGCATCAGTGAAAGGTGAGAGACAGCCTGTGTTCAAGAAGATGGGAAGCTTATTGAACGTCGCACTGAACTTTGAACTGTAGTTGATCTCCGGAAAAGCGGCTGCTGTTGGGGTTCATTTCTATGAAGTTAGTTGAGGCTCTTGACGCATCTATAAGGGGAAAGAGCGCTCCTCACAGCACCAGCTAAGAGTTCATTTGTAAACCAACTTGACAACAGGTATATCACAATTTATACTCACCCACTGAAGGTGAAGGATTCTAGCAGGCTGGATCATGACAAACTTGGAGTTGGCAGGCCCTGCCCTTCTGCCTTCCCTCTCCCCTGCAACCCATAGAATACATCATTAAAGCCAAGGTCTGTTCCCTTATTTGCTCACTTCCTTCCCCCGAGGCTGACCACCAAGATCCAACTATCAAAGTGTTGAAGTTCAGTAACCAAAATCTCTCCTTTGGCTACCCTAGTTAACATGCCCCCCCAATCCCACCACATGCTAGTCCACTCTAACACAGACCTTTCCTTTGTCCTCTTAAAAATCACACCTGCAACGTCACTTGCTGCTGTTTCTGCCGAGTCGGAAAGCAGCCACTTTACTTTTCTTCCCTGCTTAATAAAGAACCTTGCTGTGCAAACAGGTGTTTGGGTGTGGCTTGTGCCTAAACCAGGGTCCAGGAAGAAGAACCTGGCTGTGTGTGGGTTCCTTCTGAGGGCATTTCCCATCACACCTGGAATCACTGGCTGACATTTA